TTTTCCTCCTAAATTACAATTATAAAGTGTATATATTAATTGGTTCCAGACATAAAAATACTCCCTTAGCTACAGCCTACATGCTAAATTATTAGAGTCCTAACACCCATAATAGCGCTGAGTATATGGTGAGTCACAGAGTTACTGATTCCAATTGAGACAATACACAACCCCTACAAGCATAGAGTTGAAAATGTACAATGCATGCCCCAAGTTCTTCAGTTTTTTTGCTGCCAAGAGAGAATGAGAAGTAATGGTGCCACCACAAGGTGGCTTAAGAATTTTGAATTCATTCATATATCAATCATCAAGCATAAACAAATGAAATAACATGTATCTTATAACCAAAAAAAAAAGAGAAAAACCAGTACCTGTGCAGGCAGGACACTACTCGTTCGCAAGTCAAGTCAATTTTGAGAGAGAAAGAAAGTCATTACTTCTTCAATCATTATTCCTAGAATCTGTAGAAGCACAACAATAATTGCATTACTATTTAAAGAGAGAAGCAGGAGACATATTTGTTAGAGGTTATGCACCAGCAAACGTTACCCTAAAGGTGGAGAACTCAGCCGATAGCTTTTACTATTGAATGAAAGAGAGAGAGAGAGAGAGAGATGAAGGGGTGCGCTGTGGAAGCAAACGCAGCAAGCATCAATAACATTAGTTCAATGACCATTTACCAAATTGCATTATTAGGGGGTAAAAAAGAAAACTAAGTTTTGAAATTAAAAAAACATTTTAGATTAGTATAGATAGATATAGATATAGATATAATATATAGATAGAGATATAGTAGAGATAGAGATATAGATAATATAGATAGATTACATATAATTTAATTTAATAATGCTATTAACACCAAAAGATATGATAGATAATAACTATTTTGTGAAAGTTATTTTAGTCAAACAAAAGTTTTTCACTTTTGTTGACATTCAAAAGTAATATAGATATATATAGTCCATCTTGAGAGGGAGTATTAAGAGTATTAGGGTATTATGTGTAGACTGTTAAGAGTATTAGGGTATTATGTGTAAATATAAAAGGGTGTATTTGTCTTTCTTATTATTGTAAGTTAACTATAAATACAAGTGATATATGAGAGGTAAGTTAAGTTTGACCATTCTCCGTTTCTTCTAATATTGTGTTAATTCTCTCAACTTAACAACATGAAATACAATTGTTCATTTATATTACATATGCACGGATAGCATCACATTCGTGAGCGTTTGACATAACTGTGGGTGTGTGTACATGATTTGATCAAAAACCACTCTTGGTGAATGATACGTGGGTTCGCGATAGTTGGACCGAGGTTCAGTTAAATCACACAGTTTTATATTGAAAATAGAGTCGAGGTTAGCAAGAAGTACTAAATTCTCCCTCGGATGCAAGACCCAGTGATTTGGATATGCACTTTGTTGATATTGAGTCCATAAAGTATGTCAGCGTACACGGAGCCATTGGTAAAAGTTCATTAATGCCGTGTCGGTTGAGGTGCCTGTTGATATGAGTCCATAAATACCGACTCCAAAAAAGACCCGGAATTTAAAAAGATCATTGGATGTGTAACATCAATGACGGGAGTTTAGAATGCCCAGATTCATATGCATGATATTGCATGTATTGAGGGAGCGGTAAAGGCTCGGGTTGAATTGCATGTGTGAGTCTCATCTCACATCATGGCATGGCATTGAAGATTCCATTGTTAAATTGCATATTTTTGAATGGAGTGATTGTTGCTTATAAATTGTATGTGAACATTTCATATGCATCTAAGTTGGAAAGTAGGCTCTGTAGGAGATACCCTATTGAGCGTGGCTCACCCTTTATGGGGACAATATTTCAGGTGCGGGACATGCGCCGGTGGACGGCTCTCATTCGGGCTCTCATTGATGAAGAAAAGCCGATATATGACTTTTAAACTATGTTTTCGTCAAACTAAGATGTCAATTAGTTTTTGAGCACGTAATGTATGTAAAGGATTGTAATCGAATTCATATGGACTGTTTTTAATGTAAAATTGCATGTTATTATGAGTATAGATATATAGACCCAGTGTGATCAATGTTGTATGATTGCACTAATTGTGTTTTGAGTAGAGTTCCCCGTACAAAGGAAATTCTACCCTAATTTTGTTAAGTTATAGATTCTGGTAAATAGGACATAACGGCGAGGTATTGAGTCACACGATATCTACGGATATTCCGCAGGTTAACGGGTGATCAACAAGATAATTACAGACACCCGAATTTTGGGGTGTCACAGCAAAAGGGTTGGAAGATGTTGAGGATGAAAAGGGATTTGCAGATATCTGACCAAATGTTGACGACGAAGCAAATGGACTTGACTATGTGCTAGAAGCGCCAAATCCAATTGCATCAGCAGACTGACCAGGACTTGGCCCTCCTGAAATCAGATTAAAAATATTATAATTAACATGGCAGGCAATGAGGTGTGTATGAGTCCGAGATTTCTACACACAATAAGTAAAGCACCTTTATCACCCAATTGATAGTCCTCCCATCTGAGTTCTTCATGGCTTTTATCCTCATAAATAGGCATAGCCGCTATTGACTCCAGCTTTCCACCAGGCTGTGTACCTGTGCCACTATCTAACTCAAGTGTTGGCGTGTAGGGAGCCACTCTACTTCCCCCTCGGTGGCCTCCAAAAGCTGACTGTCCAAAACCAGAGCTCCCATATGTTGGTGTTGTAGCCTGGGCTCCTGCAAGACAGTTTACAAGGGCAGAAATTCAGTAAAAGCAGTAGAAATAAACAATGACCAATTGGGTGGCCAAATTCCTCATGGTTTATTAACTTGCAGAATTGAAACTTTCAGTACACTGATAAATCACTCACCAAATGGAGCACTCTGAACTCCAAAGGGCGATTTAGTTGTACCAAATGGATTGCTTCCAAATGCAGAAGTTGATTGGCCAAATGCTGAAGTGGACCCAAAACTAAATGAAGGAGTACTCAAACCACCAAAAGTTGAAGTAGTTGAGGCACCAAATGCCGGAGTGCTTGAGGCACCAAATGCTGGAGTGCTTGATCCAAATACTGGGGAACTAGATACAGAAAATGTAGTGCTGGTTGCACCAAATGCTGGGGTTGCAGTAGAACCAAAGGCTGGGGTGTTTGTGGCACCAAAGGCAGGTACGCTTGTGCCACCAAAAGCTGAAGTAGTTGACGCACCAAATGCCGGAGTGCTTGAGGCACCAAATGCTGGAGTGCTTGATGATCCAAATACAGAAGTACTAGAGGCACCAAATGCTGGAGTGCTTGATCCAAATACTGGGGAACTAGATATAGAAAATGTAGTGATGGTTGCACCAAATGCTAGGGTTGCAGTAGAACCAAAGGCTGGAGTGTTTGTGTCACCAAAGGCAGGTGCGCTTGTGCCACCAAAGGCTGACAAGCTCGATGAACCAAAGACCGGAGTACTTGAAGCACCAAAAGTAGGTTGACTAGGTGCACCAAAAGGACTGCTTCCAAATGCAGAAGTTGATTGGCCAAATGCAGGAGTAGACCCAAAACTAAATGAAGGAGTACTCAAACCAGCAAAAGCTGAAGTAGTTGAGGCACCAAATGCCGGAGTGCTTGAGGCACCAAATGCCGGAGTGCTTGATGATCCAAATACAGAAGTACTAGAGGCACCAAATGCTGGAGTGCTTGATCCAAATACCGGGGAACTAGATTCAGAAAATGTAGTGCTGGTTGCACCAAATGCAGGGGTTGCAGTAGAACCAAAGGCTGGGGTGTTTGTGGCACCAAAGGCAGGTGCGCTTGTGCCACCAAAAGCTGAAGTAGTTGAGGCACCAAATGCCGGAGTGCTTGATGATCCAAATACAGAAGTACTAGAGGCACCAAATGCTGGAGTGCTTGATCCAAATACTGGGGAACTAGATATAGAAAATGTAGTGATGGTTGCACCAAATGCTAGGGTTGCAGTAGAACCAAAGGCTGGAGTGTTTGTGTCACCAAAGGCAGGTGCGCTTGTGCCACCAAAGGCTGACAAGCTCGATGAACCAAAGACCGGAGTACTTGAAGCACCAAAAGTAGGTTGACTAGGTGCACCAAAAGGACTGCTTCCAAATGCAGAAGTTGATTGGCCAAATGCAGGAGTAGACCCAAAACTAAATGAAGGAGTACTCAAACCAGCAAAAGCTGAAGTAGTTGAGGCACCAAATGCCGGAGTGCTTGAGGCACCAAATGCCGGAGTGCTTGATGATCCAAATACAGAAGTACTAGAGGCACCAAATGCTGGAGTGCTTGATCCAAATACTGGGGAACTAGATTCAGAAAATGTAGTGCTGGTTGCACCAAATGCAGGGGTTGCAGTAGAACCAAAGGCTGGGGTGTTTGTGGCACCAAAGGCAGGTGCGCTTGTGCCACCAAAAGCTGAAGTAGTTGAGGCACCAAATGCCGGAGTGCTTGAGGCACCAAATGCCGGAGTGCTTGATGATCCAAATACAGAAGTACTAGAGGCACCAAATGTTGGAGTGCTTGATCCAAATACTGGGGAACTAGATACAGAAAATGTAGTGCTGGTTGCACCAAATGCTGGGTTTGCAGTGGAACCAAAGGCTGGGGTGTTTGTGGCACCAAAGGCAGGTGTGCTTGTGCCACCAAAGACTGACGAGCTTGATGAACCAAATGCCGGAGTACTTGAAGTACCAAAAGTAGGTTGACTAGGTGCACCAAAAGGACTGCTTCCAAATGCAGAAGTTGATTGGCCAAGTGCAGGAGTGGACCCAAAACTAAATGAAGGAGTACTCAAACCACCAAAAGCTGAAGTAGTTGAGGCACCAAATGCCGGAGTGCTTGATGATCCAAATACAGAAGTACTAGAGGCACCAAATGCTGGAGCGCTTGATCCAAATACTGGGGAACTAGATACAGAAAATGTAGTGCTGGTTGCACCAAATGCAGGGGTTGCAGTAGAACCAAAGGCTGGGGTGTTTGTGGCACCAAATGCCGGAGTGCTTGAGGCACCAAATGCCGGAGTGCTTGAGGCACCAAATGCCGGAGTGCTTGAGGCACCAAATGCTGGAGTGCTTGATGATCCAAATACAGAAGTACTAGAGGCACCAAATGTTGGAGTGCTTGATCCAAATACTGGGGAACTAGATACAGAAAATGTAGTGCTGGTTGCACCAAATGCTGGGGTTGCAGTGGAACCAAAGGCTGGGGTGTTTGTGGCACCAAAGGCAGGTGTGCTTGTGCCACCAAAGACTGACGAGCTTGATGAACCAAAGGCCGGAGTACTTGAAGTACCAAAAGTAGGTTGACTAGGTGCACCAAAAGGACTGCTTCCAAATGCAGAAGTTGATTGGCCAAATGCAGGAGTGGACCCAAAACTAAATGAAGGAGTACTCAAACCACCAAAAGCTGAAGTAGTTGAGGCACCAAATGCCAGAGTGCTTGAGGCACCAAATTCTGGAGTGCTTGATGATCCAAATACAGAAGTACTAGAGGCACCAAATGCTAGAGTGTTTGATCCAAATACTGGGGAACTAGATACAGAAAATGTAGTGCTGGTTGCACCAAATGCTGGGGTGTTTGTGGCAACAAAGGCAGGTGCGCTTGTGCCACCAAAAGCTGAAGTAGTTGAGGCACCAAATGCCGGAGTGCTTGAGGCACCAAATGCTGGAGTGCTTGATGATCCAAATACAGAAGTACTAGATGCACCAAATGCTAGAGTGCTTGATCCAAATACTGGGGAACTAGATACAGAAAATGTAGTGCTGGTTGCACCAAATGCTGGGGTTGCAGGAGAACCAAAGGCTGAGGTGTTTGTGGCACCAAAGGCAGGTGCACTTGAGCCACCAAAGGCTGACGAGCTTGATGAACCAAAGGCCAGAGTACTTGAAGCACCAAAAGTAGGTTGACTAGGTGCACCAAAAGGACTGCTTCCAAATGCAGAAGTCGATTGGCCAAATGCTGGAGTGGACCCAAAACTAAATGAAGGAGTACTCAAACCACCAAAAGCTGAAATAGTTGAGGCACCAAATGCCGGAGTGCTTGAGGCACCAAATTCTGGAGTGCTTGATGATCCAAATACAGAAGTACTAGAGGCACCAAATGCTGGAGTGCTTGATCCAAATACTGGGGAACTAGATACAGAAAATGTAATGCTGGTTGCACCAAATGCTGGGGTTGCAGTAGAACCAAAGGCTGGGGTGTTTGTGGCATCAATGGTACCACCAGCTACCTTTGGGAAGATGTAATCCACCGTCAACTTTATGTCATGGGTGTCTTGTATTCCACTCCAACTGGCTTGAAATTTGTTCTCCCAAGGGATTTTGAATGGTGGAATTCCAAGAAATTCCACTTCAAGAAAAAGACCAATTAGAAACTCTATTTATTAGGAAACAAGGTGTTTTAGGTTTATAAAATGTATTATAGACCACTTAGTTTCTCTTATGGATTTTGGCCCCAGTTTTGGGCATTCTTGGTTAGAGAACTTTGTGTATTCTCCCTTTTGTTAATAGTGAAATTTTGTCGCCGTGCTTCGCCGTGTATGTAGGCTTGTGTTTTGAATGAAACAAGTAAATTTGTGTGTTTTGTTTTTCCTATTTTGCTCCGTTTATTATTTGTTTGTGGCTTTTGTTTATAACACTTTATCCTAAAAGGTTGCCGCTCTTCTGCCTCTAATGTTGCATTTAAAAGAGCAAATCCAAAGAGAATAGATGAAAGACATACGAAATGAAGCTTCCAAGCATTTGATCAAAGGAGATTCATAGTGCATATGCTGATATCATTTTTTTGAACCAAACAAAGTGTATGGATGGAAAGAAAAAGAAGAAAGAACACAGTGTGTCATAAAAGAAAATTAAACGAAGATGACCATGCAAAAGAAAATGTAGGCCTTTATTTCTGAATTTTTATATCCAACATGGAAATTGTGAGGACCCATTGATAGCACATGGAGTAGATATTTCACAAAAGAAGCACTTCACAATCCGACTAGTGTTTAAGAGACCAAAACACTTAATAAAAACATCCGCAACTCCAGTTTTCTCCTTATAGATTCATATTAAACCCTAAAGGATACTAGAATACTTAAGCATGCCCAAAACATCTATAGACAGCATATTACACATAATTGTACCACATAAAAAAGAGGAAAGGGCAAATAGTGGTCAAACACTCCATAAATACACTTACCACCAAATGATGATGACGAACTACCAAAGGCAGGAGTTGATGTTGCTCCAAAAGCAGGCGTTGAACTTCCAAAAGCTGGGGTAGACGAAGCACCAAACACTGGTGTCGATGATAAAGGCGAAGAAGATTGGGTTGCACCAAACACGCCAGTAGAAATGCCACCAAAATGGGATGTACTGCCGAAGGGTTTAGGAGCAAATGGATTGCCACTTGCATTTTTAATCTGCCCAAAAACTGATTGGGACCCAAAAGGGCTGCTGCTAGGTGACTGTCCAAACGGGCTATTAGATGACTGCCCAAACGGGCTACTAGATGACTGCCCAAAGACTGTAAACAGTTCAACACTAATCAGTACCCAAAAAAAGGTCAGGTGAACAGACCAATAGTAACTATTCACTGGTGAACTCCAAGTAACAGTACATAGAAAACGTAAGGAAACAACAAATGCCAAAGACTAACAAGCGCCCAGTCAATATATACTAAACATTCATATATAAATGAATGAGTAATACTGATAGCAGTACATTCTACCAAAAGCTCCTATCATATATTTCATGCAAACAAACGAGAGGCCCAATGAAATGATTAGAAACAATCGTTACAAGGCAAGTCTCTGAGAAAACAAGCATTACAATGCAAACTCGCTTTCCAGTTTCTGTAGCTGGAGTTAGTCAAAAAGATTCTATACGTGTAAACAATTAAGACAAAACATCAGCATGATCGAAAGACTTAAAGGGAAAGAAGCCAGAAGTAACTGCAAACTTTACAGTTTCCCAATTCTTTGTGTAGGAACTAAAATCACTTATCTAACTCATGCACAAAGCAAGAGGCATAAATGCCAACTTGCCCAAACAACTCAAGGTCCTGAGAAAACTAGCAACTATCGTTAACTGGCCAAAAATTCCTTTTCTAAGATAAACAGAAAAGGAACAAAAGGCAAAAAAAAAAAAACCAAGCAACAAAAGAAGGAAAAACAAAACATTGTTGAACAACCAGTAACCAATATATTTTTTTTCGATAAGATAGTAATCAATATTCATCTATTTGCAAATAAAACAGTGTGTAAGGCAAACATCCAGGACTATGTTTCGCTAAAACAGGGAAACAAAAATCTCAAACAAACACCAAATACATTACTACAAAAACAAAAAGACCAACACCAAAGATAAAGAAAACACTTACGGTTGGTGCAACCAAACATTATCTCTTGATGACTTCTATAAAGTCCGAAACCAGCAAAATGCTCCTGATCCCAAACGGAATTACAATCATACACAAAAATCAAATGAATGTTCTACAATAACTGTACAGCTTTGAATGGATAGTAATCATAGTATAGTTCATGTGAGCATAATTGAACTTCTTAACAACACCAAATAAAAACAAAAATTCACCTCAAATAAGCTATAATTAAACTCCAAAATCGATGCCTATTCACTTACAATAATGTGCATATAGACACGTAATATTTGTTACAATACGTAGTTACCAAGAGGAGTGTATAGGATTCGGAATTGTGCTGCTTACATTTAGGTCTCTAAACCTAGATCTCCGGACACTTATAATTAAAATTAAGCATTAGACTGTAAATCATGAATGAATCTAGGGTTCCAAAGCTAACTGAATCAAAACATGAAGTGTGTACGTATATCCATGCAGAGAGGGGGAAAGAGAGAGATGTTTCCAGTATTGCAGAAGAAATTATATACAGAGGATTGGGTAAGGGATAGGATTGTACCTGAGAGGGAGAGAAAAGAGGTAGACAGATGGCACCAACGCTTTGTCTGACAGTAGAGAAATGGTGGCGTAGTTCTCCAACCCGTTATGTCTGTATGAGAGAGGGACCGCAGTATAAAGGTGCGTGAATCGAAGTCGCTTGCACGAGCAAAGATGACCAGTCTGACTCAGTTGCAAGCATTAGTTTTAAAACCCAGGCCAAAGTTCAATCCGAAGGAACCGGACCCATGGGCACTGGACTGGTTCAATCAATAATATAATAAAAAATAATTATAAATAAATATAATACAATTCAAATTTCAGAAAATAAAAAAAATAATTTTTACTTTTCGCGATTGAAATATCTTTAAATTTTATTTTAAAGTTAATCCGACGGCTAATATTATCATCTCAAATTTAATAGGAAAAATAAGTCCCTAAATATATATTTGAAATGACTTTTTAAAAGTACTTATAAGATTTATAATTTCTCATAAGTACTTTAAAAAAAAATTAGTGTTTAGAACCACTTCACCACCACCACCGCCCCACCATCATCACCACTACCACCACTGCCGCCACCTCACCACCACAACAACCACTAATCCCACCACCACCAATAATGGAAGGTTAAGTAAAGGACTTTCTTATTTGTTATACAAGAAAAAATTGCTTTATATACAATCAGTTCATTAACAATTTCTAAGAGGAAGCATATGTAGAAGCATACGTAACAAAACACGACAAATGGGTCATCAGAAAAGCAAAAGACAAAAACAAAAAGCCTAACAAAAAATATATCAGGCTGTGTCAATTTCAAAGTTGTAGCTTCTTCCTTCAACAACAAAAACTGATTTTAGTTTTATTAGATGATAATGTAGTTAATATTTATACATTTAGACAATATCAAAAACCAAGTCTAAGTAACATAACTCCTGGCTTGAAACATAAATTTTTGAAGGTCAAGTTGTCAAATTGCTTATCATTGTCAGACGCGATTGCTTTGGGGATCCCAAATCTGCATATGATGGATTTCCATTCAAAACTCTCGATCTTCCTTTCAATTATGGTGGCTAGAGGTTCCACTTTTGTCTATTTAGTGAAATAGTCAGTTGCTACCAATGCAAACTTTTGTTGACCCACCCCTAAGTGAAAAGGTCCCACAATATATATTCCTCACTGTTGGAAAGGTCATGGACTCAATATTGGTGTGAGCTATTCAGGTGGACAATAGGGAATGTCTGCATGCAACTGGTATGTGTTGCATTTCTTTACAAAATTCTTGGAATCCTTCATTGTGGTAGGCCAATGAACCTTGCCTCAAAACTTTGTACGCCAGTGTGCGAGCCCCAATGTGGTTTACGCATATGCCTTCATGGATTTTATTGAGCACATAAGCAACCTCCTCGTCTAAGATACACCTTATGAGAGGCACAAAAAACCCTTCTTTTGTGAAGTTTTCCTTGAATTATGGTGAACCTGGATGCTCTGCTTCTGACAGGGCCTCTTGATGATGTGTTTCCCATCTAAATTCCTCTGCAACCTTTAACTTTAAGAGCAGCGAGAATGCCTGCACTTTTCCTACACAATTAGTGATGAATCATCGAAGGAAATTGACTTGACTAATCAAGCGCTGGAGCTCCTTCTTTGTCTTTGGAGGCGTAGCCTCCTTGATGGCCTTCTCCTTGTTCTTGTCTACCTTAATCTCCTTTTTGTGCACTAGGAATCTAAGAACGTTCCCTATTGTAACCCCAAAGGGGCACTTCAACGGGTTCATCTTTAGCTAATTGACACATATCCTTTCAAGACTTATTTTAGATCGCTAAGATGTTTTTCCATATCTTGTGTCTTAACTATGATGTCATCAACGTACACCTCTACGATCTTACTAATCATGTAATGGAAAATGGTGTTCATGACTCTCTGATATATGACTCCAGAGTTCTTTGGTCCGAACAATATCACTCTCCATTCAAAGGTTCAAATTGACCCAAGACAACGAAAAGCAATTTTGTGTTGATCCTCCTCCACAATGAAGATCTGATGGTAGCCTGCGTTGATGTCCATAAGTGACATGATCGCATTCATGGCGATCACGTCTACAAGCTAGTCTGCCAACGACATAACATACTCATTCTTGGGAGTCGCCATGTTAAGTTCGTGATAGTAGCAACAAACTTTGATTTTGCCAATCTTCTTCTTGACTGGCACGACGTTGGATACTCATTATGTGCACGGTGCCACCTTGATGCACTTTGCCTTCAAGAGGCGTTCAATCTCCTTCTTCACCAACAAATTTACTTCGTAGAACATCAACCTTGAGGCCTACTTAATCAACATGTATCCTTCCCTTATAGGCATTCAATGTTCCACCAATACTGGATCTAGCCCTGACATTTCCTTATAACTCCAAGTGAAATAGACATGATATTCTCTCAACGGCTACATAAGCCATGCTTGGAAATTCAGCTCTAGCAGCTTGCTGACAAAAGTTAGTCGATGCTCCCTTGGGCCACCAAGGTTGACTTCGAGCAAGGGGCTTGAACTTCCACAATGTCATCAAGCTTAATGAGGGTTGTATCGATTTCATCTAATTCGAACTCTCGTGAGGTAATCTATTTAGATTCTTCCTCCTTACATTCCACCATGATAATGATGTTTTGTTAACTGATGGTCGCGTGTAGTGCAACAACCTTTTTTTCTGCCAAATAAGGTCTTACTCTGGTGACCTAGGCCCTTATGGCTTGCCTTCGTTGCTTACTGTTGTCGTTCTCCATAATCAATCGAGATTTCAGGTTCTTTCGTGTGGTTCAGCCTTTACATAATAGTGGGTTAAAGAACCTCTTCCTCCATCTGACATATCTCATTATACCTCAAGTCAGTCTTAAACATGAATTTTCTTGGCATTCTAAATTTATCATAGCCTTGAAAGTTTATCGGCCCTATTCCTTCTTCGTAAATCCAAGTATTGGCATATGAACATCCACCATAAACATTGTTTAGACTATTTCTACCACTTCAAAATCTCCTAGACATCGTAGCACCAGTTGTTGATGGAGAGTTGATGGAATGCACTATCTCAAATGGATCTAGTCCCAACCCAAGAGAGCATTATAGGAAGTCGTTGTGTCAATCACAAAGAATGGCATAATGTTGGTCTTGCTACTGACAGCCAATTCAAAGGGTAGAACTCTCACATTCATTTTAACTTCTCCTATGAACCCGCTCACCATTAAATCGGTGTGGACTAGGTCTTATTCTTTCCTCCTAAGCTTCTTCATAGGCGCTATGGAAAGAATGTTGATAGCCACTCCATTATTCATCAAGACCCTATTGAAAGGTTTTCCCTCCAAGTGTGCTCGAATGTATAGTGGCTTTAAATGTTGAGTCATAGGTCAACTAAACGGCCAACCCTTAAGGTTGCTTGCAGACGGTGTTTTATCTGCCCTTTCTTCCTCGCTCGGACCTCTCTCGGGTGGATACTCTTCCTTGCACTTAAACCCTCCATCTTTGTCCAAAAATGTTGACCTTAGTGTCCCCGTGTCTTTGACATCTCCTTCCAGGGATTCTGCTTGAGGTCCCAAACTTTTGAATGATGTCAGCAACAACCCAAAAGCATTAATGGATACCGTTGGCCCTAAAGTGCCAAATTGGATGGACTCACCACTGTTACTATCGTCTCCGTTGTTAGAGCTGTATTATCCTGTTTTTTCCCTCCCTTGGAAGTCTCCGAAGGGATATTAAGCTCAATCCTTATTCGTTCCACCACCATTTTCAACATTCGCTCCTCAAAACTCTCCTCGGTTATGGGCTTAATCTCTACTTTCTTGTTTTACTTCTCCTTAACTATGGCCTTCTTCGAGGCCACTGGACACTACAGAGGTGGGGATACACCAAATTGGCATTTAATCTCCCTTGTCGGGATAGAATTTTCTCCTCTTCTTCTCACCTGCACAGGTCCACCTGTATGTGTTGTTTCCTGCACTTTTGTGATCTCGACAACAGCCAAGGCAGATGATACTATAGGAATTTTGGATGCTAGACTCGAATGTTTTCAGTATCCTTGGGCAATACCAATAACCCTAAGCTCTGATAGGCTGATCTGGCGGCCGACCCCTTGAAGGCTCTAGTATGTCTCCTTCATGCCCTCTGTAGCTCAACCTCATAAAATTTTCTAGACGATTCTCTTGTCCCTACTTTGGCAGTGAACACTCCCTCAACCATTACTAGTGGGTTCCCTTGTAGTGTCATTTTTATTGTAGCCTCTTGGATGACTCAGCTCACTTCTTTTTGAAAACTTGGTGCTCTAGAACGATCACGTAAAAAGATTTACACTTGGAACATAAACCACTCTTGACCATATCGAGTTGCTCCTAGAGTCTTGACAATATGTTCGGCTCACCCCCAAAGTCTTCCTCTAATGATTCATCATGGGGTGCATCGTCCTTCTTTCCCATCATCTATTGACCCATCCTCATCCAAGTCAACTTTCTTCTTGGTAGTTTTTAACTATCCCATTTCCACCATGTTGATGGCGGTTGTCTTATGAAAAAGAT